GAAAAAAAAATTACGACTTTTTCCATTTCAGTGGCTATGTTGTTATGTTATTTTGCATTTCAGGTGAGGATATGTACATATGTACCTACCTCGAAAACATTTCTTTGGAAAAATAAGTTTTTTAGCAAAGTACTTTTTTCGTGTAAACTAGTGTTTTTTATTTCTTTTTAATTATGGTGAAATAACTTGTATCACCTGCTGAGGCAGAATAGTTATAGACAAAATACACGTATTTTGATTCTTATCTATGAGCGATCAAAAATACAATTTGTTTATTTTTTACATGCATGTACATACATATATGCACATTTGTATACATATATATGTACATATATATATATATATATATATATATATATAGTTTGTGAATTTAAATTATCAGGACTAACATATATATATACAGATGCGTGCAACTAATTAGCAACGAAATTCAAAACGATATTGCTTGCAAATTATGTTTATTTATTTATTTTTAATAATTTTCATTTAAAATATAATTCAATCTATAACAGAAACCGCAATAACAAATGTTGCAAAGCTTGCACAAATTGCAAAAAAATTAATCAAACTTAAAAAAAATCGTCATCAAAATTTCAAAATTTTTAATTAGAATATATAGAAAATGTTGGGGTAAGCAGTTTTGTAGCCCATTCAATTTTAGTATAATAAAGTGGAAGTTTCAAGTCGCTAAAAATTACCGTTGATTTTTTAGAATTTTTTTTGTCGAGGGGTTGCGGATTTTTTTCCATGTAAAAAAAAAAATTTTGATCATGTGTTATATGGAAGAAAATGCGCAACACCCTCCACAAAAAAAAAATCTAAAAAATCAACGGTAATTTTTAGCGACTTGAAACTTGCACTTTATTATACTAAAATTGAATGGGCTACAAAACTGCATACCCGAAAATTATCTAAATAGTTAATTAAAAATTTTGAAACTTTGATGACAATTTTTTGAAGTTTGATTAATTTTTTTTTAATTTGCAAGCTTTGCAACTTTTGTTATTGTGGTTTCTGATATAGATTGAATTATATTTTAAATGAAAATTATTAAAAATAAATAAATAAACATAATTTGCAAGCAATATCGTTTTGAATTTCGTTGCTAATTAGTTGCACGCATCTGTATATATATGTACATATATATATAAATACATATATTTGCAGCCACGAGTAATAACTTGTCTACAACTTATACCGATTCAGGAAATTAACACAACAATATTATTGTATTAAGCTATTGTTCTTGTGATACTACCATGTTAGTCCCGAGAAATTAAATGCACAAACTTGCCTTTAATGGCAAATTAATAAATGCGTGTTTATTTCTTATTGGTCGTTTTTTACAAACGTTATCATAATTTCAACGAAGTGTTTTTGAACTTTTGTTGATAATTTAATACTGCCCCTTGAAATTATTTATCTCTGTTATTAATTTTCTAATAAGTGCCCAAGTCTTCTATGAAATAAAAATATAAAACTTTTTTTTCAGAAAATGTCTACCTTGATCACGCTGGAACTACGCTTTATCCTGAAAGCTTAATAGATGCCTCTAGCAAGGTGCTCAAAGATAATTTATTCTGTAATCCACACACTTGCAAAGTAACCGGTGATCTCATAGATCAGGCTCGTTACAGGTAAATACAACTTTCTAAATTACGTATATACATACATACATATGTACAAAATAAGATTAAAAAATTAATTTCAGGATACTGCAGCATTTTAATACAGACGCATCCGAATATGCTGTGGTCTTCACAGCCAATGCTACCGCTGCTCTGCGAATAGTTGGTGAATGTTTTCATTTCGGTGAAGATGCAAATAACGTTGGTGCTTTTTACTACTGTCAAGAAAATCACACATCCGTGTTGGGATTGCGTGAAATAGTGGGCACAAATCGCCATAATGTGTTAACCAAACACGAGATTTTGAAGTGTCTATCTGCCGTTAACGGAAATGGTTCTAATTTCGACAATAAGACAAATGGAAGTAATAAACTCAAGCATAATTCACTTGTGGCTTTTTCGGCGCAATGCAACTTCAGCGGCTACAAGATGCCACTTGATATCATTGAAGCAATTCAAACACAGGGTTTGTCTCTTCATGGCACACCTGTTAGAGGACTGGAAAAAGGAAACGAAGCTGATGAAAGTAATTATTACATTTGCCTGGATACAGCTTCTTTTGTAGCAACCAATTTCCTAGATTTGCGAAGATACAAACCCGATTTTTGTTGTATTTCCTTTTACAAAATGTTTGGGTAAGTAAAACAGATAGAAATCGTTAGTATATAATAAGGATATGATTATGCCTCGACAGCTTTCCCACGGGAGTTGGTGCACTACTGGTGAGCAAACGTGGTCAATCAGTGCTGCAAAAGCGTTACTATGGCGGCGGGACCATAGATATTGCGATGACACGCCAGGATTTTCACCAAAAACGATCTAATTTTTCTACACGCTTTGAAGATGGCACCTTGCCTTTCCTCACAATTTCTTCGGTGCTGGAAGGCTTTCGAGCATTGGAACGTATAGTGCCTGCCACGCCGAAACGCCTGACAATGGAACGTATTAGCATGCATGTTTACCGTTTGGCTAAATATTGCCACGACTCACTCGCCGTATTACATCATGCCAATGGTGCGTCTCTTATAAAATTTTACAATCATGTCGGCTATGATGATATAGCGCTTCAAGGCGGCGTGGTTACCTTCAATGTGCTGCACGACGATGGTACTTATGTTGGTTTTGCCGAAGTTGCTTGCATTGCTGCAGTGCATAATGTACAAATACGTACCGGTTGCTTCTGTAATCCCGGTGCGTGCCAATGGTTCTTACGTTTGTCGAATTCAGACATACGAAAACAGTTCGAAGCGGGCCATGTTTGCAGTGATTATACAGATTTGATAGATGGTATGCCAACTGGTGCGGTGCGTATGTCTTTTGGATACATGACTCGCCCGAAGGATGTGGACAAAGCAGTGGCAATGATACGTGATTGCTATCTAACTACAGCTTCTGAGCGTTTACGTGTCATAGAAAGAAGAGAACTACCGGAAGCGCTACGTAAAGTATCACAGCGCTTAAGGCCGCAGTTGAAACGCATATGCATCTATCCGATCAAATCTTGTGGCGCTTTTGAAGTGAGCAGCGCATGGCAGCTCACTCGGAATGGTTTTAAATATGATCGCACTTGGATGATTGTCGATGTCAATGGAATGGCTATTACACAAAAACATTTTACAAGATTATGCTTGATAAGACCAATTGTGCATTTAAGGGAAGGAGTTTTGGAGCTGCGGTTTCCAAACATGAAGTCTGTGCAGGTGCCATTAGAAATGCACGAAACAAATTTTTCAAAACGTATTGAATCATCTTTCTGTCAAAGCAAGGTTTGCAATGATTTAGTAGAGGGACTAGATTGTGGGGAAGCAATAGGGCAGTGGTTATCAGACTGCTTGGAAACCGAAGGTTTGCGTTTAGTGCGGCAAAATTCCGAGCGCCGCACTCAAGATGGTGCTGCCAAGGAAATCAGCTTTGCAAATCAGGCGCAATTCTTACTCATCAACCGCGCATCGGTTCGGTGGTTAGCCAATAAAGTAGAATCGGAAAAGGAATCTATCGATCAGACAGTGGACCGCTTTAGAGGAAACTTAATATTCGAGACTGCAAGCCCGTTTGAGGAAAATTCTTTTGAGGAAATTAGTATAGGTGATGTAAATTTTAAAGTAGATGGATTTTGTACGCGTTGTCAAATGATTTGCATTGACCAACATAGTGGTTGCAAAACCAACGAGCCATTGCGAACTATTGCACGAGAATTTGGTGGAAAAATACGCTTCGGAATTTATTTATCACTCAAAGGACTGGAAGAAGAAAATGCTTTTGTCTCTTGCAATGAAGAGGTGAAAGTACGAAAGATAGAACATGGTGCAGAGCAATGAAATATAGATAATTGGAAGCAAGGCTTGGCGCATAGGAAATATAATTGATAACGATAATACATTTTACAAATATGTATGATCAAAGTGTACTTAAATTATAAGCTTCGCACAAAAACATGCCAGTTTATGAAATCTAAGTTACTCTATTATTAAATTACCTTTATGAAAATATTAAGCTGTTTTCAGTATCGCTACAAGATGTAAAACAATTACATACAGGTCTGTAATAAAGAATAAAAAAAATCACGCTTTAACTTTAATTATGTAAATACATACATATACATACGTACCTTCATATCTGTGCCGTTCAATTAAAGTAACCTAAGTGACTTTAGAATGTTTGACTTTGAATTAAAAAATATGTAATCAGCTTCTATTAAAAGGGCATCTTGAACTGCCCCTATGAATAGTTAAACATTAAAATATTGTTTGGGAACCCAATGAAATTTTGCTTTAAAGGGAATAGGGCCTAGACCGACTTAAGGCTAATTTAACTGAACGGCACAGATATTGTCACAGCACAGTATTACATAAAAGTAATAAAATATATTTACAAAAATATACACTAAATTATACAAATCCGTACATACAATAGAAGTTTTACATCAATGAACAAGAATTCTCTGACCTCACGTATTTCGGTGGCAAACCTTCACGGACATTTATCACGCTCTGCAATATTTCTTCCTGTGATGGGAAAGCCTGGGTTTTCAATTTCGAATGTACCAACATACCGTTTACGATAACTTCAAAGGAACCGCGACGCCCAACATGACAAATTAGGTCCGTATCTGGTTGTTCTTTCATTATGTATTTTTGCAGTGTCCTACACTGCCGGGCATGTGCCGCACATAATCCACTATATTCAAACAAAAATATACATACATATGTATTATAGGTGCCACCAATATGCACTTACCAATGCTCCACATCGACTTGTATTGGTTTGCCCATAAGAATTTATATTTTCGTAGGATATCCAATACAATTGATTTCTATTCACGAAAATAAAAAAATATACATTTTTGAGCTTATTAATTTTGATTTAAATTTCATATATACCTGCTTTGACAAGCTTTTATTATTATTTTTTGTGTACTTGATTTTGTGCACCGCACAAATAACAATTATATGCAAACTAAAGAAAGTTTTAATTTTCTTAAATAGAAAAGTGTTTCCATTTTCCTGTGATCACATCAGCATACAATTATCAATTGGCTGCTCCTTAACCTTTTCTACCGGTAGACCTTTTTCTGCTTTGCGCACATTTTCAAGTACGCTTTCGTGATCGGGAAATGCGAAAGACTGTAATTTGGAGTGCACCAAATTGTCATCAATTTTTACTTCAAAGGATCCCTGTCGGCCTTTGAAGCAAACCACTTCCGTTTCTGGTTGTTGTTGCAGCAGAAAGTTTTGTAACATTTTACATTGCCACTCAAAATTGCATTTTGGACTGAAAAATTGAGTTATGAGTTGTGACGATATTTATTTATGTTTAATGGCTTGTAAATCCCAACTTACCAGTATTCCACGTTCACCTTGACCATTTCAGTAAGGGCCTTTTTGTCTATTAGCAACAAGAACTTTTTACTCCAAAGGACCGTTGTTTACATAAAATAAAAAAAAAGTCTCTCAGCTGTTGTTGATGGTGTTATGTTTTTTACCATAGGCTTTCAAACTTTTCGTATTTCATATTTCCCAGCAGTCGCACGAAGAGAATTTTAATAGATATCTGTCGTATTTATTTGCTTTCTTTGATTATGTACACGTGTATGTATGTTAAAAATATATATTTTAATAGATTTTAATGTATATTTTTCATACATTACTACAGTTATGCGATTTTTCATTAATTTAAATTAAAGTTTTAATTTTTCTTACCTCCAAAAATCGTCTCTGGTTTTGTTTCATTGACAGATTTGTCTGCAGCATAAACAGCTGTTTATATAAAATTGTTTATTGTTTTGGGTGTGCGCAAAAAATGTAGTTTACATTCCGCTTTTAAAACAAAAATTTATAGAATGCTGCATCGGCGTTGTATTGTAATAAATATGCGGTCCGCTATAGCGCTCATCATGATTTTCATTTTGAGCGGTATACGTCAAAGTCTGACTGCTGGTGGAAATCTTATGGAAGCTGAATCTAAACTGGAAGGCCAATCGAAAAAATATCACAAACAACAATGACGCTATACCACTTACAATCAAAAGCATCAATGACACCAATGTATCCTGTCCAGGCACACCAGATAGCGAGTGTTCGTCGTTGCCCTTTCCTTGTATACGCTGCAATTATAACTACTCTTGTCACTATGGACGCGATATAAATGTTACTTGTACGGCATTGGACCATGTTCAATGTCAAGGTAATCGATCTTTTGTGCAGCAGATAAATTGTCGATATTGCTATCAAACGGAAATGTGGCAGCAGTCATGTATGCTTCGTGGAAACTGCAATTCCGTGAATGCACATTATTATCGCACCAATTGCACGGTGCATTCGGATGTATTCTGCCTTGGTAATCGCTCATTTACACGTAATCTTAAATGTAACTGGACACAAGGTTATCGGTGGAGTACGGCGCTTATAATAAGTATAACATTAGGTGGTTTTGGAGCCGATCGTTTCTATCTAGGGCACTGGCAAGAAGGAATTGGAAAGCTTTTCAGTTTCGGAGGCTTAGGTGTGTGGACCATTATTGACGTATTGCTCATATCGTTACATTATCTAGGGCCAGCTGATGGTTCCCTATACATATAGTAGTAGTAATCATTCAAATTTGAAAATCAGACTAATAATTAGTACATTTTAGTATAATGTAAGAAGGTATGTTTATTTCATTAAATAAAGCTAATTCTATTATCTTTCCAAAATAAAAATTAACTGTATTGACTGTTTTATTCATCATCTTCACCAAAACGAATGTGTTTCGTTATTAGTTTCTTAACTTTCTCTCTACCTCTCTTCTGTGGTACTTTTACTTGTTTATTTAACTTCATTTCACGATCTGCTTCAATTTTCTTCCAATACTCTAGCTCTGCTTCGCCACTGAGTACCTTGCACTTGTATTCTGCGCAACTCACTTGACCCACAAATTCGGTTGCCGCTTCTGCCGCATCTAACCGCAAATGTGCAAGCAAGGCGCCCTCCTTAACGTCAACGTACTTTACGGCTTCGTATTGTCGCATATCGGCCTTAAATTCTTTAATATTGACGCAAGGATTCAAAAAAGCTACCTCTACTATAAGTCCCTCTGCATAGCTGAAGAGAGGAGCGCGTTCCAAGGCAGGATTGTGCTTCATCTCTTTTGGTTGCGGCTTTGCTTCTTCTTCGCCGGCGCCGTAGAAATTCATATTCATTTTACGCAGATTGCGTTCATTTGCCTGCGGTTTCTTGGCTGGAGGTGGTGCTGTAGCGTCTAATGCTTCCAACCCGCCTGCTTCGCTAGCCTGTTGTTGTTGCTTTTCCTTCCATGCTTTGCGCTTTAACTCTGCAACCTTTTCACGTTGCAAGTTTAGATATTTGTTACGCAATCGCTTCCAGGCGCGTTTAGGCAGAATTTTCAATTCATAAAAGGATGCGTCAGTATTCAAATCAGTATCTTTCCTGCGTTTTTCTAAACTTTTGGCCTTTTTCTTCTTTTTACGGCGTTTCTTTTTATTGCTACCCTCTTCGCCGTCTTCTTGCTGTTGATCTTCGGTATCATCATTTGTATTTTCTGCTGTTTCGGTTGCGGTGGAGTTTTCATCGTTTTCGGTTTTAGTCTTTTTTGTTGCAGGCCCTTCGGAGTCTAAAATATCATCGGCGCCCCTTTTGGGGTTTTTTTGCTTTTTTCTGCTCTATATCTAATTCATCTTTTGCTATAGGGGTTTCTTCATTTTGTTCTTTTATGAATGACTTAACACTCTGTAATTCTGCAGGATCAGTTTCTTCCATTCTCAATACACCATTAAAATCTTGAAATGCTTTAATAGCCTTCTCGACGCTACTCTCATGTTCAAACTCCACAAATCCGAATTCCTTGATTTTACGCGATTTAGCATACTTCGGTAGCGACACATAGACTACTGAGCCAAAACGTTCAAAAGCCTGACGTACCCAATCATGATCAGCTGCTGCAGGCAGAGCTTCAACATATAGCGTCTTTTCGTCGACATTCCGTTCAATGGGCAATGCAGTCTTTCGCTTGACTTTCAATTGTGCCTCATCCAACTCGAGCAGTTCTGAGTTAGATAGTGACTTGCAGATTTCGCCCACTGAACTAGTAAGCGCTTTCAATTTATTGAAGTTTAGAAATACCTCCAGAGGTACATCTGCAATTTGAATGCGCACCAAGTGCTTAGTTATTAATTAGTTAGAATACATGTTAGAGCACTTACAAGGATCTTTGTCGATAAGCTGCTTCAAAAATCGGTCCTTAGACAGATTAGCATCGCCAAAGTAGAATTCCATCTGTTTCCGAATAGCATTGAAATGGTGCCGCTTACGCTTCCTATAGTTTTTTGAGCCGCCTGAAATGTCACCAACAGCTTCAGCGGCAGCCGGTTTCTTATTTTTCTTTTGTTCATGTTTTTCTGTATGCCTTTCTGGCGGGGCTTCTACTGTGGACTCGGATTCCATTGTTATTACAAAAACTATTTTATTTCACCTTAAATAAAATGTACACCGCAAATGCAAACGTTTTTGTTTTATTACAACGCTTTTTTAAGTCCAAAGCGAATTTATACAAGGTGGTGTTCAAGGCGAATTTAGATTTTCGTATAAAATCGTGAAATTCGTCTTGGTGGTGTTACTGGCGAATTTAGATTTTCGGCGCGGTACTTCTTAATGTCAAAAGCAAGGCGCATGGGTGATTTTTTAAGAGCTTGATAACTTTTTTTTTAAAAAAAAACGCATAAAATTTGCAAAATCTAGATTGGTCCATGACATTTACTTTTTGAAGATAATTTCATTTAAATGTTGACCGCGGCTGCGTCTTAGGTGGTCCATTCGGAAAGTCCAATTTTGGGCAACTTTTTCGAGCATTTCGGCCGGAATAGCCCGAATTTCTTCGGAAATGTTGTCTTCCAAAGCTGGAATAGTTGCTGGCTTATTTCTGTAGACTTTAGACTTGACGTAGCCCCACAAAAAATAGTCTAAAGGCGTCAAATCGCATGATCTTGGTGGCCAACTTACCGGTCCATTTCTTGAGATGAATTGTTCTCCGAAGTTTTCCCTCAAAATGGCCATAGAATCGCGAGCTGTGTGGCATGTAGCGCCATCTTGTTGAAACCACATGTCAACCAAGTTCAGTTCTTCCATTTTTGGCAACAAAAAGTTTGTTAGCATCGAACGATAGCGATCGCCATTCACCGTAACGTTGCGTCCAACAGCATCTTTGAAAAAATACGGTCCAATGATTCCACCAGCGTACAAACCACACCAAACAGTGCATTTTTCGGGATGCATGGGCAGTTCTTGAACGGCTTCTGGTTGCTCTTCACTCCAAATGCGGCAATTTTGCTTATTTACGAAGCCATTCAACCAGAAATGAGCCTCATCGCTGAACAAAATTTGTCGATAAAAAAGCGGATTTTCTGCCAACTTTTCTAGGGCCCATTCACTGAAAATTCGACGTTGTGGCAGATCGTTCGGCTTCAGTTCTTGCACGAGCTGTATTTTATACGGTTTTACACCAAGATCTTTGCGTAAAATCTTCCATGTGGTCGAATAACACATCGACATTTCACGGTCTTCAGCAACACTCTCAGAAACAGACGCAATATTCTCTTCTGTACGCACTGTACGCATTCGTGTGGTTGGTTTAATGTCCAATAAAGTAAACTGAGTGCGAAACTTGGTCACAATCGCATTAATTGTTTGCTCACTTGGTCGATTATGTAGACCATAAATCGGACGTAAAGCGCGAAACACATTTCGAACCGAACACTGATTTTGGTAATAAAATTCAATGATTTGCAAGCGTTGCTCGTTAGTAAGTCTATTCATGATGAAATTTCAAAGCATACTGAGCATCTTTCTCTTTGACACCATGTCTGAAATCCCACGTGATCTGTCAAATACTAATGCATGAAAATCCTAACCTCAAAAAAATCACCCGTTACAAGGTGGTGTTCAAGGCGAATTTATACAAGGTGGTGTTGTAAAATCAGCTGATTTCATCGCCTTACATGTATTTTCTTTTTGCTTTTACTGATTTGACAGCACACCCATCAAAAGCAAAAACAAAATACATGTAAACTTCGGAGCGAATTGAGATTTGACATAACACCCTCCATACAAAATACATGTGGCTGTCGTTGTTGTAAACTAAATTCGCCAGTAACACCACCTTGTATAAATTCGCCTTGGTGGTGTTGATGGCGAATTTAGATTAGATGTCATCATTTTGACCAAGGCGAATTTATACAAGGTGGTGTTGATGGCGAATTTAGATTTTCGCCGAGGTACGTTAATGTCAAAATGATGTGTTTGTTGTAAAATGAATTCGCCTTGTTTACAACAAACACATCATTTTGACATTCAGTAGTACCGTGGCGAAAATTTAATTCGCCATCAACACCACCTTGTATAAATTCGCCTTGATTTTGACATTCAGTAGTACCGCGGCGAAAATTTAATTCGCCATCAACACCACCTTGTATAAATTCGCCTTGGTCAAAAGGATGTTTCAAGGCGAATTTATTGTTTGTTGTAATATGAATTCGTCTTGTTTACAACAAACACATCATTTTGACCAAGGCGAATTTATACAA